ACACACACCACACACACACCACACACACACCACACACACACACACCACACACACACACACACACCACACACACACCACACACACACACACACCACACACACCAGACACACACACCACACATCACACACACACTTCACACACACACACACACACCATACACACACCACACACACACACACCACACACACACACCACACACACACACCACACACACCACACACACCACACACACCACACACACACACCACACACACACACGCACACACATCACACACACACATCACACACACACATCACACACACATCACACACACACCACACACACATACACGCACACACACCACACACACACACACACGCACCCACCCGTGGTGGGTGCCACGCACTGTCACAGCCGGGATTTCACGGTGTTCATTTGACCGTTGAATGCGTGTCCAAGGCTGCGGCCGCCTGAGGCTGAGACTGCATCTGCTCTCCCGCACCAGGACCTCCACGGCCGCCACGGAGCTGGCACATGCTGAGCACAGACGTTCGCTCATTTTTAAAGCAGAATTGGCGGAAGGCTGACGGCCGGACAGATCGGTGAAACCCCCCAAGCGCTGACTCCTGCGGTCCCTGTTGGCCCAGAACTCACGCAAGCTTCGAGGTGTCTCCTCCTGCAGATTTCAGTGTTTCAGAAAAAGACGCCACCTCCAAGCCCTCCGCTCCAGAGGAAGGCGTGGGTGGCACAAACCCGCTTCCCTTCCCGGGGAGAATTTCTCGTGCTTTCCTGACGCCTCGCTGCCCTCCAGCGTGTGGCAACATGGAGCATTTAGCGCTCCAGCCATGATAGGGAAAGGGCTGGCATGCATTCAGATCGGGATTGAGTCTTGTTGAATCTGTGTTTTCACGGGCAGAAGCCGGGTTTTTCTGAGCCAGCTCCTGAGGAAGCACATGGGGTGGGGTCTGGGGGGGGAAGGGAGTGGGGGGGGGGCCTCTTCCTTTCTAAGAGGAGAACAGTGGGAACCCACCTGCTTCGGGCTCGGCTTTCCCTGGGTGAGTGTTCTCTCCCCAGGTTCTCCCTGCACTTGGAGCTCAGGCCCCCTGCATTGCCAGTGTCTGCTCTCGGTTGTGCACACCGCTCCATGGGCGGGCCCTGCCCATGGCTTCGGGGACGATACCTTTGGCTGTGTGCCGCGGAACAGGGGCCCTGACACAATAGAATACTTTATTTTATTTTTAATTTATTGATGAGGAAGAGAGAGGGAGAGAAGAGAGAGAGAGAGGCTTGTTGTGGTTCTACTTATTTATGCATTCATTGATTCGTTGGTTGATTCTTCTATATGCTCTGGCCGGAGACCAAACCTTGGCATAGCAGGATGGCACCCTCACCCACTGAGCTACCTGGCCAGGACTACAATTGAGGACTTGAATACAAGCTGGTTTCCACCAAGAATGACGACCAGGGGGTAATGGCGTGGGTGGGACTCCTGGCCTCGGCTCTTCGGTCATTCTGGATCATAAAAACTATTATTGGTGACCTGCCCCGTTTCTTAACTCAGCACAAGGGTGCAGTACTGTAGACATGCAGTGGAATCCCTGGTGCAGTGGTGTAGACATGTGGTGGAATTAAAGTGCAGAACTGTAGACGTGGGACCCGCACAGGCTGTCTGCCTTGCACCTGAAAGTACTGACCAGCACAGTTAGGGAACGGCCATAGCAAGGCACCTCCCTGCCTGCTAAGCCCGGCAAAGGCACTGCTGATGGCTAGGGAACTTCTCAGAATCCCTTGCATCTCGGAGAACCTTCAGGGCATCCGCTGTCCTGGACCACTGTCTGGTGGCGCTGGCTCTTTATTCCTTTGCCTGTATTGCCCTCTAGTGCTCATTTCCCAGAACTAACTTTAGCCACCCTTTCTCTTTAGCTACGAAGTTTACAAATCCAAACTCTGAAAAGAAACTTCTTACAAGTCTCTCTGCCGCTTCCTGGAATGATTTGGATACATTCACTTTTTCATGTGTGTATTAAAACCCAAAAGTATTTTTTTTAAATATTTGTAATGATTTCAGAGAAGGGTGAGGGAGGGAGAGATAGAAACATCAATGATGAGAGAGAATCATCCATGGATCAGCTGCCTCCTGCACGCCCCACCCTGGGGATGGAGCCTGCAACCTGGGCCTGTGCCCTGACCGGGAATCAAACCGTGAACTCCTGGTTCCTAGGCCAATGCTCAACCACTGAGCTATACCAGCTGGGCAAAACTCAACAATATTTTAAAACATCATACAGCCCTAGCTGGTTTGGCTCAGTGCATAGAGCATCAGCCTGTGGACTGAAGGGTCCCAGTTTTGATTCCAGTCAAGGGCACATGGCTGGAATGCAAGCTCAGTCCCTATTAGGGGATGTGCAGGAGGCAGCTGATCAATGATTCTCTATCATCATTGATGTTTCTATCTCTCTCTCTCTCCCTTCTTCTCAAAAAAATCAATAAGAATATATTTTTTAAAAATTAGGGAGGTGAATTGGACAACAAGCCTGCTTCATTAGGAAGCTACAGCTTCACACACACACACACTTGAAAGCAGCTTCCAGAGCTGGGCCTAGCCCCAGGAAGCTGTAGAAAGAAGCCCGAGCTTCCTGGTCCCCAGCTGCGTGCCCAGGCTGGTCTCCTGTCTCCTGGCCCGGGGAGAGGTGCTGCCCGAGGGAACCCAGGCTCCCAGCCAGCCGGGGGTGGGGGGCCCTTCGGGGGGCTCTGCTGATGCCAAAGGGCCCTTTCGCAGTCCCCGCTCTCACAGCCTGTCCTCCTGCCCCACCTCCTCTTCGCCCCAGAGGTGTCGTTGTCGCAAACAATCCTGTTCTTTTCACCTTCTTGGGCTTTCATGGCAAAAGCAGGAGGGTCCCTGCGGGAGCTTGTGGCCTCTCTCAGTCTCTCCCTCCTCTTCCTCCCCCTCCGTCTCCACCTCCCTCCGCCCCCCACCCACCACCCGAGTGAAAATAAAGGTCCCTCCATGCAGACGCATCACCCCGGCTGGCAGTGGGTGACTCCAGCTGGCCATGGCCTGCTTCTCTGCAGCAGGCAGACTCACAGGAACAGAGGCAGCTCCTCGGGAAGGGGCCCAGCTTGGCCCCCCAAAGCCTCCTCTCTGAGATCCCGGTTTTAAGCTCTTTACTGAGAAACAAGACGCAGGACTTTGGACCTCCCGCTTACCTACCCAATCGCTTCCCACCGAGAAACCCACTCCCGGAAGGAGGTCTGAGGGTGCCCCTCAGCCCAGGGGGGGCTGAGCTGGTAGCGGGAGGGCCTCGGACAGCGGCTGTGAGCTCCATGCCCCGTGTCCCTGTCCCTTCGTTTCCCAATCACCGGCATGCGTGCTCCCCACTCCCTCACCCACCACCCATTCTCACTTCTGAAATCTAACACCCGCCCCGCCACCTTCCCTTCTGTCCAAAAGCGTCTTACATACGTAATGTTGCCTCGCTGTCTTTAGAATTCTCCTGGGCTAATCACGCCTATGTACCTTTTCCCTGCATATGTGTTCAGTTTGTCTCCTGTGGCTTTGGGCATTAGCCCAGCCTCAAATGCATTAGGAGGTGGGAGGGGAAGTATTAATACTTTTAGCCTCTCCCCCTCCCCCCCCACCCCTGTCCGGATGTCCTGGAAGTTGGATTTCTCTTTATTCATGGAAACCCACACACACACCACACACACACTCACACACACACACTCACACACACACACTCACACACACTCACACACACACATATACACATGCACATACACACACATGCACACACATTGACACACACATATACACATGCACACACACATGCACACGCACACACACACTGACGCACACATATACACATGCACATACACACACGTGCACATGCACGCACACACACTTGACGCAGGACTGGACAGTGGTGAGCAGCATACCCAGGAGCCCACCTGCCAGAGGCTGGCCGTGCTCACGCTAGTCCCTCACCCCTCCGTGCCTCGACTTCCTCTTCTGTCCCATGGGAAGGAGGTGGCGGCTCCCAGCACGAGGCCTGGCGCCCAGGAAAGCGGCCCTCTCCTCCCTCCTCTTCCACAGAATCACCCCCGCCCTGCCCACCCTCCGCGCCCCGTCCCCAGGCCTCCTCCCACGGCGGTGTCATCCTTTATCTGCAAACACGCCCGCTGGGTTTCCAATCAGAACGCTGCTGCGCCGAATTAAAGACACAACGCACGCGGGGGGTGGGGAGGCAGGCTGACAGGCGTGTTAGCAAACGGCGGAACATTCTGGAAGGCTGGGCACCGAGCTCGGCTGCATGAGGGTTCACTGCCGGGTGTTTGATATGAGGAGACACGGTATGAGCAGAGGGACATTTCCCCGGGGGTTAAAAAACAAACAGAAAGCAGCCTCTCCTCCTTCCTCCCCTCCAGCCCTCCGTGTGGCTCCGCTCTGGGGGTGGCCTGGGCCCCGTTCCCCGCCACCTACATGGTCACAGCGGGTCTGATGGCTCCCACGGCCATGCCCAGTTCTCCACGTGAAGCATCACGGTTCTCATACGCGCAGGGTGGGGCGAGCTGCCCACTGAGCCTTCCTGTCGCGGACATGGACGGTGCAGCAGCTTTCAAGGAAGAGCGAGAGGAAGCTGCCCCCTGATGGACCACCCCAGCGAGCGTTCACGGTCAGACAGGAGGCGGGTGGGGTGCTGGACAGGCGCAGCTCAGCAGCCAAGTCCCTGGGCCCGAGCAGTCTTCCCGGGGGCTCGTCCGCTTGCAGACGCTGTGGGCGATCCGGTCCCCTGGCTCGGAAAGCTGGGCAGCCAGGGTTCCCCTTGGCCTGGCCTCTGGTCCTCAAGAGTGCCCAGGGCCAGCCTGCTGAATGGAGGTGCCTTCTGGGGCCTCCGACCCCACATCGGGGAATCCTCGCTCCCCCTCTGCAGGGCCTCTCAGGACGGGGCTGGTCACGGGCTTCGGGGGCCAAAGGCAGCTCCAGGGATGAGGCGAGGGTCCGACTCCAGGGAGAAGCGGCTCAGCTCTGAGGCTCGGGGGCGCCATCCTTCATCGGGGTGTCGTTGCCAGCCTCGGCCTCGGGGTCGGCCTCCAGCCCGGGATCTTCTCCTGAGGGCTGCTCTCGGGGTGCCTGGGGCTCCCCCGCCACCTGGGCGGTCTTGCTCACGTGGCATCCCATCTCAGGAGGATGCAGGGCGCCCTGGACGGTCCCCAAGGGGTCTGTGTGGCCGATCGGCAGGGACCAGGGTTATATAACTTCCTCCGGGCACTGTCGAAAGGGAACTGGCTTGGTTTCTATGGTCCCAGGGGGACGCCGAGGCCAATTTGCATAAAGAACACACACACACACACACACACACACACACACACACACACGCCCTCGGTGGGGTGGGCAGGGCCTGGAGGGCTGCCCCTCTGAGTTAACTGGCCAGTTCCAAGAACCAAGCTCCCCTGCAGGAAGAATTCCCTCGTGTGTAACCTTGAACTCCTCTGCCGACGACAGTCCCCCCACCTAGCGACCTGTAAACACCGGCCCTTTTGTTCACACGGAAGGAAAGACCTGTCACTACGCAACTCGCTGCGGCTGCCTCTCCAGGTCCCGGCAGGGTCACTCTCGGGGTCACTCTCAGTGCCGGGACCCACATACCCCCCAGCGTGGAAGCCCCCCCCCCACCCAGGGTGTCCTAAGACCGCGGGTGCCAGGAGTGACCAAACATGCAGGTGATTAAAAGAACCGGCCGGTGTTACACGCTGCTCTGTTTACATTCACCAACCACCCTTTTCTTAAGTATTTTTTTTATTATTATTATTGATTTCAAAGGGAGAGGGAGAGAGAGAGATAGAAACATCCGTGATGAGAATCAGGGATGGGCTGCCTCCTGCACACACACACACACCCCCACACACACACCAGGGATCAAGACTGCAACCCGGGCATGTGCCCTGACCAAGAATCGAACCAGCGACCTCCTGGTTCTTGGGCCGATGCTCAACCACTGAGCCACACCAGCCGGGCGAGCTTCCAACGTAATCATGCTTAACTCCAGTCAGCACAGGAGGCAGGCAGCAGGAGCCCCAGAGCCAGTGAAACCCCAGGTGAGAATACCGGGACCCGTTACCGGATTTGTGGGGCCCGGTGCAAGATTAAAATGGGAGCCCCTTCTCGGGTGTTACTGAGCACTCAAGGGGATACCATGAGGTTTGGAAATGAATCACAGGGCCCAGGAGGCCACCCTGTCCACACCACCCTCTTCCTCCGCTATCTCATCAGAAGTAGATTTGCTTTAGCCCGTGAGCTGGCCCAGCCCAGGAGACGTTGTCCTGAGAATAGAAGGAGGCCAGGAAAAAAAAAAAAAAAGACAAGGAAAGAGAAATGGGGAAGGACAACCCCCAAAGGATGGCACCCCAACTCCCTGAAGTATGACTGCCATCACCTCAGTGGGAACTGCTGTTTGGCTTCGGGACTAACTTGTTTGCTTAAACAATAGAAAGTTGTTTTGATTTTCTGAGCTCAGGTATGCTGTCCCAGCACTCCAGGAATGATGGTGTGAGTGTCCCATTGATGGTGATCTCACTGGTCACTGAGGCCCATCCTTCTGGGACCCAGGACAGACCCATTATCCCAAATTGCCTCATGCCTACAGGGAGTGCATTCCGGCTGACTCAGTGGGCCCGGAATCAGAACAGTCCTACATTGCCTCGGTAGCTACAGATAACGCATTCTGATTGACTCAGTGGTCCCGGAATCTGGACAGCACAGTTATTCTAAATGGCCCCGGTGGCCCCAGATAACGTGTTTCTGTGGATACAGTGATCCGTAGATACTTTAGATAACCAACTTGCTCACGAAACAGGTTCCTCATTCTAGACCCAAGATGTAACGATACCTTTGTGATAGCCTTCCATATAAGCCAGAGGGGGCGAGCTGTCCGGGGCTGCGAGGTCTGGAGCGCTTTAGCCCCTCACATGCCCCCGGCCTGTAATAAATGACTCCCTGATTCGACCTCTTGAGGCATCCTTTGTGAAACTGTGTCCTTCTAACTCTCTATTCCTCTCTTTTCCTCTCTATAAAAAAATCAATAAGCTCAGTGGATAGAGTATCAGCCTGCAGACTGAAGGGTCCCAGGTTCAATTCCGGTCAAGGGCATGTACCTTGGTTGCGGGCACATCCCCAGTGGGTGGTGTGCAAGAGGCAGCTAATCAATGATTTTCTTTCATCGATGTTTCTGGCTCTCTATCCCTCTCTCTTCCTCTCTGTAAAAAAATCAATAAAATATATTTTTTAAAAACTATTTTAAAAAATCAATAAAACATATTTTAAAAATAAAAAATAAATCAATGAAAAAAATATCCTTGGATGTTAAATAAACAAATAAATACTTACAGCTGGAAGCTGTGTCCTTCGCTCTTACTACCTACAAAACACAGCCCTCAGAAATGTGTTCACATCACACCAGGCACTAAACCCTGCTGACAGTGCGGGCCGCTGGCGAGGTGGCGGGGCTTCTGCAATGCTCACATGCTGCTCGCGGGAATGCACAATGGCGCAGCCTCTGGGGAGAAAACGTTTGCCGGGATCTTCTAGAGCTAAACGTACACCTGCCATAGAATGCTGTCCTGCACCCGCCAGCTCAGGCTGCCATAACAACCCCCCACACACACACCCTGGCTGCCGCTGGATGGCTGAAACCATAGGCATTTCTTTTCCCACAAGGCCTGAGGCCAGAGTCCAAGGTCAAGGTGCTGGGTAACTCGGTTCCTGCCGAGTGCTCTCTTCCTGGTTTACCGGTGACTGGCCCCTGGGTGCCTGTCCTCGGTGCTCCCACAGAAAGGGAGAGAAAGGGAGAGCTGGGATCTCTTCTTCTTCTTCTTCTTCTTCTTCTTCTTCTTCTTCTTCTTCTTCTTCTTCTTCTTCTTCTTTAATATATTTTTATTGATTTTTACAGAAACGAAGGGAGAGGGATACAGAGCTAGAAACATCAATGAGAAAGCAACACCAGTCAGCTGCCTCCTGCACACCCCTTACTGGGGTGGTGCCTGCAACCAAGCTACATGCCCTTGAACAGAATCGAACCTGGGACCTTTCAGTGTGCAGGCGAATGCTCTGTCCACTGAGCCACACCGGTTAGGGCTTTTCCTCTTCTTACAAGGACACCAGTTCAGTGAGGTTAGGGCCTCATTTACCCTCAATTACCTCCTTGAAGGCCTGTCTCCAAGTGCAGTCACTCTGGGGGTTGAGGCTTCAACTTGTCAATTGGGGCTGGAAATGGGGAGGGGGGGAGGGGTATTGGGAACACGTTCCATCCATAACTTTATCCAAGTAAACGAAAACCTACACTTGCACAACAGCCTGCACATGAATGCTTAGAGCAGCTTTATTAATAATCAAGAACTGGCAACAGCATGCCCTAGCTGGTTTGGCTCAGTGGATAGAGCTCCGCCTGCAGACTGAAGGGTCCCGGGTTCGATTACGGTCAAGGGCACATGCATGCCCAGGTTGCGGGCTTGATCCCCAGTGTGAGGGTACAGAATGCAGCTATCAATGATTCCCTCTCATGATCTATGTTTCTATCTTTCTATCCTTCTCCCTTCCTCTCCGAAATCAATAAAAATATGTGGAAAGAAATTAAAAGAAAAAAGAAAGGAAAAGAACTGGCCCTAGCTGGTATGGCTCAGTTGGCCTATGGACGGAAGAGCCCTGGGTTCGATTTCAGTCAAGGGCATGTACAGGCGGCAGCCAATTGATGTGTCTCTCTCACATCGATATTTCTGTCTTCTCCTCTCTCTTAAAAACAAAACAACAACAATAATGAAAAAGTATCCTTGGATGCTAAATAAACAAACAAATGCCTTTAAAAAAAAAACACACCTGGGAACAACTCGGATGTGAGTGGAGAAACAAACTCTGTTACAGTCACACATCAAAATACTACCCAGCCCTAGCTGGTTTGGCTCAGTGGATAGAGCGTCGGCCTGCGGACTGAAGGGTCCCAGGTTCAATTCCAGTCAAGGGCAAGTACCTTGGTTGCGGGCACATCCCCAGTGGGGGGTGTGCAGGAGGCAGCTGATCGATGTGTCTCTGTCATCGATGTTTCTAACTCTCTATCCCTCTCCCTTCCTCTCTGTGAAAAATCAATAAAATATATATATTTTTTTAAAAAGAATACTACCCGCCAATAAAAAGGAACAAGCTATCAATACAGGTATGAGGACTTTCAAAGGCATCGTGTTGAGTGACAGGAAGCCAGACTCCAAAGGTCACCTACTGTTTGATTCATGTATGTAAGCTTCTCAGAGACGAAAGCCAGGAGGGAGAACAGCATGATGGCGAAAGGATTTTGTGTGTGTGTGTGTGTGTGTTGTTTTTGTTTTGTTTTTTTTGCTCTGTAGCCTCATGGTGGTGGCCGTTCCACAAATCCATACCTGTGCTAACATCCATGGGACTGAACGCCGACATTTTAAACAGTCAGATTTACTGTATGCTCATTTAAGGAAAAAAAAAATTTTTAATTATAAAGATCATTCAAATGAAAATATAAATAAAACCTGTTTGCCAGGAGCCTGGGGGCTTATTTGCCATCTGGTCCCAGTTTTTAAGATCATTTAAAATCCTCTCTCTCCTGCTTCTCACGCAAACAAACAAAAGAAGCACACCTGTCCCTCATTTGGCTCAGCAGCTGTTTGTTGAGCCACGTGGCACAAGGTTCCATTTGGGGGTCGGGCTGAAATGGGAATTTTGGGGGGTGAAATAGACAGGTTTAGGGAATTTTTCAAATTAAGGGGGCGGAAGGTCCCATGGAATAAAACACAGGGCTGGCTACAGAATTACAAAAGGGTACATTTCTGCCCTGACCGGTGTGGCTCAGTGGATACATCGTCGGCCTGCAGACAGAAGGGTCCCGGGTTTGAGTCTGGCCAAGAACATGTACCTTGGTTGTGGACATATCTCCAGTGGGAGATGTGCAGGAGGCAGCTGACGGATGATTCTCTCTCATGGATGTTTTTAACGATCTCTTTCCCTTCCACTCTGTAAAAAATTCAATTATATAGCCAAAATCGGTTTGGCTCAGTGGATAGAGCATCGGCCTGCGGACTGAAAGGTCCCGGGTTTGATTCCGATCAAGGGCATGTACCGTGGTTGCATCCCCAGTAGGGAGTGTGCAAGAGGCAGCTGATCGA